ATTTATTTATTTATTGCTGGTACTGGGGCTTGAACTCTGGGCTTGAACACTGTCCCTGAGCCTCTTTGTGCTCAAGACTAGCACTCTAGCACTTGAGCCACAGTACTACTTCAAGCTTTTTGTGAGTAGTTTATTGGAGATAAGAATCTCACAGGCTTTCCTGCCAGGGCTGGCTTCCAAATGTGATCCTCAGATCTCAGCCTCCTGAATATCTAGGATTACAGGCGTGAGCCACCAGCACCCAATTTATTGTCCTATTTTCATACGTGTAAATAAACTAGTTTGATCATATTTTTCTTCCTTCACCCTCCCCATTAGTCTTTCTTCCTCCCACTGATACCCACCTCTCCCAACAGAGCCTGTTTTACTTTTCTGTCATTTATTTTTAGTGTGATTTAATTATCCCAAGGAATTTCACCATGGTATTTTAGATATGCATGTATTAGATTTTAATCAGAATAACCTATTTGCTTTCTCTTTTCCAGTCTCTCAATTTCCCATAGATCAATAGCTTTCATTGAGATTTCTTTTTTGTTGTTGTTGTTTGTTTTTGCTGGTCCTGGGGCTCACAGGGCCTGGGCTCTGTCCCTGAGCGTCTCTGTGCTCAAGGCTAGCACTCTACCACTTGAAGCATCACGTCTGGCTTTTTCTGAGTAGTTTATTGGAGATAAGAGTCTCGTGGACTTTCCTGCCTGGACTGGCTTTGAAGTGCAGTTCCCAGATCTCAGCCTCCTGAGTAGCTAGGATTACAGGTGTGAGCCACTGACAGTAGCTCACTAAGATTTCTTGCAGCATCTTCATAGTTGCAACGTATTTCAAAATTTTTCACCCTCCATCTTTCTTCTTCCTTCTTTCTCATCCCCCTAAACAAAGTCATAGTTACAATTATGTTCTATGAATATAAATTTATGTATATATATACATATATATATATATGGATGGGTGGATGTCCATGTCCACAAATATGTATGTCTTTAAACACAGCTTCCACAAATGAGTGAAACATGATATTTGGCTTTTTAAGTTTGGCTTATCTCACTCAACATGGTTTTCCCCAATTCCATTCTTTATTTTTTTCTACAAATGACATGATTTCATTGTTCTTTCTGGTTGTGTAATATTCTATGGTATGTATGTATCATCTACATATATCTGTTGTTTGTCACCTTGGCTGATTTCACTATTTGGCTATTGTGAACAGCACCAGTAAACATGGGCATGGAGGTATCTTTCTTATATACTGATTGATACCCCTTCAGATAAATGCTCAATATTAGTATGGTGGGGCCATAAGGTAGGCCTGTTTTTCATTTTTTGAAGAACTGCCATATTGACTTTCATAATGGTTGCACTAGTTCATATTCCCACCAACAGCCTATGAGGGTTCCATTTTCCCTGCATCCTCTCCAACATTTATTGTTTACCTACTGAGATCCTGTCCCCTTCAAAAAACAAATGCCAAACAAAACTGTTGGTAAATGATGTTTGCTTAAGAACATTGGAAGTGAGAGAAACATCCCGCAGTGGGGGTACAATTGGGAATCAAAAATGCTAAGGAGGATGAGGCAGGAAGAACTGAGAACTGACAAGGTTAGTCTCTGATGGGATTTTAGAGCTAATGTCCTAGTGTTACATTCTCAGCTTTACGTCCTCCATTGTGACGCTCATTGTTTTGGCCATGGATGTATCTGTATGTAAGGATTGAGATTATACCACACATAACTGCAGATTCGTGTTCTTGATTCGTGTTTGTTTTTGTTGTGGTGCCAGGAATCAAGCTCAAGGCCTCATATATACTAGGCAAACACTCTACCACCAAGCAACACCCTCAGGTCCATCTTTCTTGATTCTTTAAGTGCTTTTAGAGATTTTGTAAACAAATAGACATATGTGGGCAATGACCTTCAGAGAGAGGGGAATTATGTGGAGCTAAAACTTGCATCATGGCAGGCGCTGGTGATCATACCTGTAATCCTAGCTGTACAGGAGGCTGAGAACTGAGGATCATGGTTCAAAGCCACCCTGGGCAGGAAAGGCTGTGAGACTCTTACCTCTAATAAACCACTCAGAAAACCGGAAGTGGCGCTGTGGCTCAAGTGGTAGAGAGCTAATCCAGTTGAAGAGCTGAGGGACAGCGTCCAGGCCCCAGAGTTCAAGCCCCATGACTGACCAAAAAACCAAAAACCAAAAAACCAAAAAAACCCACACATATATAGCAATAGACCAAACCCCAGAAATTTTGTTGCTAGAGATATCAGAAATGGCCCTTCCCAGCATTTTTTCTAACCTCGAAAGAGAGGAAACAGTATTGATACCATTGCTGATACCAATACATTCCCAGAAATTAATGACAAATTTCTCTAAAAGCTAATAAGCTAATAAGGTTGTGCATTTTTTTTCACTTCTGGAGTTGGGGATCAAACCCATGCTAGGCAAGTGCTCTATAAGCATGTTACAGCCCCAGCTTTAATAAGTAGTTCTAAAAACAAAAGATTTAATTTTTTAATTCACTTCTAATTGTAGCATAAAAGTTTCCTTTAATATGAAATACATTTCCTTCAGAAAGACTAGGCAATGTGCTAAAAATAGTCATCTAGAATGAAATATGGCCAGAGTAGACATTGTTTATTTTGCATCTAAAATTATTTCCTATACTTAATACAATAAGCTGAAAAAATAAAGCATTATTAAAATTAAACCTTTTGATCTAATTGTGATTTAAGTTATAAGCCTTCATGATTCTTAGCTCCCCAGGAAAGAAATTCATTGGCATAAATCATCCAGGATTGGCTGATTTTTGAAAGATTTTTTTTTTTTAAATAAAGATTGCTTTCCAGGCTGTTAGATCTTTGACCAGGGTTACTGGTTGGTTTTATCTTTTGCTCTTTGCATGGGGTGTGTGTGGATGCTTGCGTGTGTGCATATGTGCCTGCATGTGTGTAAATTTGTATATTTTTCCCTCAAAACAAGTATTTGTAGACTCTTTAACCCAAATAAAATTCACTTACTGTCTGCCACTTAGCCTTTTGGCAGAAACCTTTGACAATAAGCAAACTACAATGAAGTGGAGCCCAGTTTATTAATTTGGCAAAGACAGCTTTTCATTTTAAATATTCAGTAGCACATTTTTATGAGAATGAAAATGACAAGCACCTTGATGCTGTCCACTTATGAGTCTCAGAAAAATCAGTCAGAGAGATGAGGTAAACTCAGCAAAACCCGATTAACATAATTACACCCTGATTTCCCCCGCATGCCTCTTGGGAATTAGTGATCTCTCCTCTCTCCCTGCCCAACCCCCTCGGCCCTCCAGGATGACAGGGACCTAGACCTGCAAAGCTTAGTCAGAAATACTCAACCTGGAAAATATTGGCATTTGATGCCAGAAGAATCCACCTGCTGAGCTGCCAGTGACATTTCATTGCCAGAGAAGTTTCTAGGTGGTCAGACATTGATGGATGCAAAGACCTTTTTTCATGAGGGAAGCAAACTTTCAGGAATTAAAATGGCTGACCCTGAAATACATGTGCAGATCTATAGGCACTTTTAAAAACAAAAAAGAAAGAAAATATGGGAAATAAGGGAAAGCTAGACTTTTCAGAAAAAAAAAGATTCACCAAGACAGGCATTTAAAAAGACTTTAAAATAATGGAAATTTACATATTGAAATTGTTTATAAATTTATAAATTACACACTATATTATATTATACATCTATTGTATGACAGCTGATGCTTTTGGAAGATGCTTGGAGAGAACTGTTTGTTCTAGGAATAGCACAATGGGCCATTCCGGTTGATGCTAACACTCTACTGGCTGTATCTGGTAAGAATTGCACAATTTAATGACTTTGTTGTAGAAATTACCATAAAAATACATTACTGAAAAAAGAACAACATGTAAAGAATAACAAATTCCTGCTGAACAATAGAGTATACCTGTCATTTATAAATCTATATTTAAATGCAAATAATGTTGTTTTGTTGTATTCATGACTGCTTGCATTGTTATTTAAATGCAAATTACTGTGTTTGTTATCATCCAAGAAAAGATTTTGTATTAACTTTCATACAATATAGCCAGTTTACATGGAATCAGATATCTTAGAGTGACAATTGAATAGATACTGATATGCAAGAATTTTTTTGTCAAAAATCAATATTAAATCATGAAAATGTCTTCATATTAGAATATTTATCCCATATTTTTATTCTAGGCATGAATGGTGACAACACAGATTCTCAGAAGCTGAACAAGATCATATCTGAAATACAGGCTTTACAAGAGGTGGTAGCTCGGTTCAGACAGCTCCGATTAGACGCTACTGAATTTGCCTGTCTGAAATGTATTGTCACTTTCAAAGCGGGTAAGCAGACACAAGCCCCCCTCCCACCCCTCACCCCCACCCTTATCTCTTCTTCCTCTCCAGTTTTGCTACTCAAAAAAAGGCGACGTTTTTCAGGAAGTTGGTACTCTCAGGCTGGCTCCATCTCCTCTGGTTGTAAGGACCATGGATGCTGCTGTCCTGGTGGGCACCCACTTCCAGAACCTTCTATTCCCATAGCATTTCTTGTGCTGCCTAACACAGTTTTCTGGCCTTCATTTCTAGTTCCGACACACAGTGGCTCTGAACTGAGAAGCTTCCGGAATGCTGCAGCCATTGCAGCTCTTCAAGATGAGGCTCAGCTAACACTCAACAGCTACATCCATACCAGGTGACCCTTATTTGCCTTGAACATGTACTTAAGAAAATTGCTTCCTTTGTGAAGTTGTAAGCTGGCAGTAAGAGCCAGTTCAAACCTTAGTGACTAATTATCCTGTGGCTAGTTGGTTAATTTCATTAGCATCCAAGTCCTCACCTGTCTCTCAGGGTGAGGGAGGGGAGCAAATCAAATTAGGTGATCACAATGAAAGCATCGCCAGACACTTTACAGCTGTTCTGGCAGAACACGTTGACAAACTAAGACAGTTAAATCATGGAGATAGGGGAGAGTAAAAAATGAGGGCTAAAGTGTTACACTGATATTGTAGAGAGTGGACACATCATCCTTGGAAGAAAAAAAGTGACTTTCTTCAGATACCAAGTCACAAATAGGACCAGGGAACTTTCCAGAAAGGTCATCTTTATTCCTTTTCATAACTGTTCCAGTTATTTTGAGTCCCCACACCTACTAGGTTAGTTCTGGCCAAGCAAAATCCTCTATCCTGGGCTATTTGTAGAAACACTCAAACCCTGGCACTCCAGTAAAATCTCTCCTTCGCTCAGCACAGAGCAAGCCCATCAAGAGATGGACCCGCCAGATATTCAGATTCCATTTTCAGATACATAAAGGCTTCTAAAGGCAATAGAACCTTTTTAGTTTCCTAAGTTTGGACTTTGATGGCTCTGAGATTAGAATAGACTTACTATTCTTGTTCATTCTCTAGATTAATCTTGAGAGGGACCTTTAAAGGCCTGAATGCATCTCAACATTGGCCAAAGACACTGGTGGGAGTAACTGCATCAAATGGATAGAGGTCATTAATGCCTCCCTCCCATAAGGGGTCAGGAAAGTCACAAGTTATCCATTTCCATTCACCACTTCTGCTAGGATGTCCTTATTTCCATCCCAAATTCCCTTCTGAATGCTGAATGAATAAAATCTTTTCACTATCCATGGATTATCACTGAAACTAAATTAAGTAAACGTGTCTATGTTTGTTTCCAAAATAAATACCACAGTTTGAAATTTTAAAGTCCTTGTTGAATTATAAAATAGCAGTCTCTTAATATTTGTGGATGGGCTGGGATGTAGCTCAGTGGCAAAGTGCTTGTCTAGCATGTGCAATGTCTTGGGTTTGATCCCCAGTACCAAAAAAGAAAAGACCAAAAAAAAATTACAAAATGAAGCAGTACATAATTTGGGCACTTCCCACCCCCACTAAAAACTGATTTGTACAACATAATTGACCTTTGATATTTACAGTCACTGAGACACTAAGAATACCAAACTGATAGTAGTATGGTATTCTGTTACTGGCCCAGCTAAGCCTTTGCTGGTTACTGTCATGCACGGGGCTGCAGGTAGATGTGAAATATCAGAAAGAAAAAGTATTTCCCCTTCCTATCATGAAAGTGGGAACAAATGTCACCCCAGTTCAGACCAGCGAGGAGAGAAAAGTAAAGTGGGGAGTGGGAGAGATGGAAGGGGGCAAGGAAGAGCTAGATGTGTTAATTGATGGAGAAAATGACACGCAAGCGGATCTTCGAATGCTGGAAAGATTTCCCTGGGGAAGTGGTGGAGGACCTGGCCAGAGGTATTTAGTGAGGTGCCTGGAAGGTAAGCCAAGAAAGTCTGACAGAGCCTGAAATTCCACACTGCCAATAACGTAACGGGGAGAATTCCACCACAGGTAGGAAACCACCCCATTCCCACCTTCAAAACAAGGGGACCATCTGTGGCTGGACCACATTTGCTTTGATGTGAATTCTTATTTCATGATGTAAGCTGCAGCTGTTATTTAATATCTAGAGACTTACAGGTGACAAAAACCACTCTGCCTTGTTTCTTATCTAGTTCATATGAAGGAACATGCTTGCATCCAGCACTGTCTAGAAAAATAAAATCTGAAATTAAACTGAAAAGTTAACAAGCAGGTGGAGCTAATTGTTCCAGCTCTATAAGGCATGCTCTTATTGTCCAGGATGAAAGGATAGGCTAGGAACTGAAGACTGAGTACACAGATCTGCCACAGATGCAACACAGTTAAAGCTGAAAGAAAGTTTCTAGTTACGTATGCTATATGGCTTAAACAATGGCCATAGATATTCTAAAAATAATTTTGAGCAGTCTATCAGACACTCACACACACATTGTTATTGTTTGTGGGTGGCACACAATTCCACAAGTAACAGTTATTTTTCCTGACTGACTAACCTGCCTTTTTCCTGCTAGACAATAAAAGGAGTGCATGAGTAGATGAGTTGACAAGCTATGCACAGAAACCAAGCATTCATTGTCAAACTGGGGATGTAGCTCAGCTGCAGAGCACTTACTTGCCTAGTATCCACTGCATTCTAGGTTCAATCCCCAGGATCACTGCGTATTGAGTCTCCAAAACCCATCCTTCCTGGGTGGAATTATTTCCATCTTGGAGAAATCCTGGGAAATGGGCAAAAGCTGTGGAGATGGTCTAGGCAACCATTCTTACTCTGAAAGGGTTTTCTCTCGTGTCTAATTCTAGAAAAGGAAACACAGAGCTGCCTTGGCCACAGGAAGTGGCCAAAGTCAGAGGAAGGTACAAGACTTGGGATTACTTTCTAGGAAACCTGCAGATACGTTCAGCCAGGAGAACAAGTGGTAGGATTTGGGTGGTTGCTTTTCTTTAATGTAGATGAGTTTCACCTTTCCATTCACATTGTTATTTCTATTCCACATGGTCTGGTGGCCTGTCCCTGGATGATCATGAATGTGGGTGATGTAAGAGCCAAATGAGATGGCCAAGACCCACTGAGGGTCATAAGCCTCATATGTGGTTGGGGAGCAAGGCTCTTATTTGCCCACAGCTAAGAGACAGCATGGAGGTTACTTTCCAGGATTTTGTCAGCAGAGTGGGAATTTGGCTTTAAACAGAGCTACCACACTCTGAGGAATTTTGTTATCTTGGTTTTCAGTACCTATGGCCGGTATTGAGCCTGGCATAGTCATGCATCCATGTCTCAAGAGCTTAGTGCTTTAGATGGCTTGTGTCTGTGAAGGGGGCTGACCTTGTCCAGTGCATTGATAACGAGACTCTCAGCCACTGGCTGCAGAAGCATCAGGGCCACAGAGCTGAGGTGGCTTCCAAAGACAGCAGAACTTGCACATCTGAGTACAGATATATGTTGGACATCAAGAGAGGAAATTGTTAAGCAATTTCTCACATCTTTAATTGTGTGCCAATTTCATTGACATGAAAGTTGGGTGGCACTGCCACCCAACAGAACTTAGTCTTTAATTTGCAATGTAATAAGGGTGGAATTATTCCTGAGAGTGACTAAGTATAATGCCTGAATAATAATTTGGAGAATTGCTTAGAAAAAGAAGCCATTTTATTTGAGGGAAATAGCCTGGTGAGAGAGCATAGAGAATTAGAAAATGTGGATTCTGATATGAGCTTTATCAGCTAAGGTTGTTTTCTACAATGGCAATATTCAGTTAATTATTGTCTACGTATTAACATCATTTCTTTAAAAATTGTTCTCTTTTTTTCTCTCAATCAAATGCACTCCCTTGTGATTTTTTTTTTTTTTGGCCAGTCCTCAGGTTTGAACTCAGGGCCTGGACACTGTCCCTGAGCTTCTTTTGCTCAAGGCTAGCACTCTTACCACTGAGCCATAGCATCAATTCTGGCTTTTTCTGTTTATTCTACTAAGGAATCAAACCTAGGGCTAGGTAAGCACTCCACCACTAAGCCACATTCCCAGCCCATCCCTTGTGATTTTTAGCAGTGTCATTTAGGATCTTTGTGCCTCATGTAGCCTACCTGGGAAATGGGGACAGAGTGCTTGTCCAGGACCCTATTGCAGGGGCAGGATGTGACTTAAGAGACCCACCTCTGGATACTATTCTAGAGATAATGTGTGCTCAATGAATTGCTGTTAGTGTTGGGCTCTGACATTGCTTTCATGGCTTCTCGCCTTCCAGATACCCCACTCAACCTTGCCGCTTTGGAAAACTCCTGTTGCTTTTGCCAGCTTTACGTTCTATTAGCCCATCCACCATCGAGGAAGTGTTTTTCAAAAAAACCATCGGCAATGTGCCAATCACGAGACTGCTTTCAGATATGTACAAGTCCAGTGATATCTAAGCTCTCCAAGCCCCGCCTCTTCAGGATGGGACAGTGTCAAATGAACTACTACTTGTGGAGGAACAAGCCTCAACTAACAAACCTTTCAGGAAGTGGAAACCTGCAAAAGTGTGGAACCTTCAGGAAAAAAAAAATACCAACGGACACAAAACAGCTCCTGTAGCTATGACCTACTGCTCATCCAAGATGGGGCAGCCAGGAAGAAAAGGGGTAACACAGAACCATCTAACAAAAACAAAGACAAAAAAATACCATTTCTGCCCTGGGAGGAGGCCATGTGGGGAGGGTCACCATAGAATGATCTGGACATTCAGCTGAGCTATCAAAAGCTGATAGACATGTCACACTTTTAAATGTTTTCCTGGTTAGCACATACATTTGGTTGACTAACAGCTCTGTGGATAACATCATGTGGCAGCCTTCAGAACTGTGTTACGTTGGAGCATTTATTTAAAAAAATAATTGTTAGGTTTTAAATCAAAAGTATTATCAAAAGATTCCCTGCTATTGTCATACATCATGAAGTGGCCTTCAGAACTGAGTTAATAAGTGAAAAGTAGCTCCCATTGTGTGATTTTTTTCTTTTTCTGTATCTCCCCTTCCCTTTTTCTTTCATCCTTTCTTCTTCCTTTTTTTTTTTTTTAATACCATAGGCCAGGCAAACTTGTCAAAGGAATTGGTGGACAAAACTGAGATTCTCACCAGGACTTCAGGTTGAATAACATCTCAAATACAGCAGAGCTTTACTGAAAGAACACAAGGGAGGGAAATGAGTGAAAACAGCAAAACCAAATACAGTGGAGATGAGAGGGGAGAGGCAGACTGCTGTCCTCTTGACTAGTGCTGAAACCACAGGCAATGAGGTGCAAGCTACTGGTCAGCATGTCCCCCACCACTACCACCATCACCACAAACACAGGGCCAAAAGAAACCTCAAGGTCTTGAATGCTAAAAGGTTTCTTGATTGATCCATTGCTCACAGCCTGAGACTCTTCGATCTTTTTCAGAACGCTCTGGTTTCTAGTAAAGCCTTGGATGTGTACACACACACACACACACACACACACACACACATTGTCCTGCACTGTAAGCTGCTCCTTTGATGTGAATCTCTACTTATGGAAACGTAGGAACAAACATTTTTAAATAGCTGCTGTACTTTTCACATTTTGATTTATTAGGTACTAGCACTGAGGAGAAAACAATTCAGCACTTGGACTATCATAGGATGAGTAAAACTTTTCTTGTACAAAGTGAATTAACTGATTTGTGAAGTTAAAAGGTTGTACTCATTGTATTTACAAAGAATAAAAAATATATTGAATTTAAATGAACTCTGCCTGATTTGTCGCCGCCCTCCCTGACTGGTTCTCAGTCATCAGATGCAAGGTGGTGGTGGTGGCAGCGGCAGCTGGTGTTAAACTGAAACTCCAAGCACTCCAGTGCTGAACCGAAAGAACCAAACTACAAAGGCAATTTCCTTTTTACAGTGAATAGCATTTGTAAAATGATGAATAAAGAAATAAAACATAAAATTCTGCTCTCTCCAGCTCTCAAATGTAATTGCATCTGTTAAAAAAAAATTGCTGTGTGAGGAAGAAAGAAGCCGATGAACAGTCTCCATTCTCTGCTCTGCTTTTCACTCTCTTGCTAACATTTCAGTCCTGACCAGGAACTAGAAATCATTGAATGATCAAAAGGATAAAGCATGAAGAACCATACTGGTGAGGAAGTTGTGGAACAAGCCTTAGAAAGGCCATGTAGCTGTTCCCAGCAAATCTCAGGGCACTGGCTGTGTGCTGGTGACTCATGCCTGTAATTTTAGCCACTTGGGAGGCTGAGATCTGAGGATTTCAGTTCAAAGCCAGCCCGGGCAAGAAAGTCCATAAGACTATTATCTCCAATTAATCAACCAAAAGCTTGAAGTAGAACTGTAGTTCACATGGTAGAGTCCTAGCTTTGAGGAAAGAAAGCTCAGAGACAGTGCCCAGGACCTAAGTTCATGCCCCAGGATCAGCATAAAAAATAAAATAAAATCTCAGGGCACTGGCCTCCATTAAAAGAGGCCAGTGGTGGAAATCAGAGATGCTGGATGCCACAAGAACTGTAGGCTTCTAGTGGTAGCCCCAGCAAGAGTTGCTTGTGCCTCTGCTAGTACTGAAATGACCTTACAGATTGTGTGTGTGAAAGTATAACCAGTCAATCATTTGTTCACTGATTTCACAGAGAATAGAAAGTTGGCCTCAAAGAACAGCAAAGTTGGTCTGGGAATGTAGCTTAATGCTAGACTGTTTTCTTATTGTGTCCAAAGCCCTGGGTCCAATTCCCAGCACCTCCCCCCCAAACACACATTCAGCCAGCAAGTTACTCAAACATGGATGAAAAGATGTTCTTTGCAATCCTGTTTATGCTTAACAATTTAAATGTCCATCAGCATTTAAATTGTTGATGGACACAGGTAGATTGTAGTAGTTAAAGGGAATGGTTCCTGCCAATATTCCAACATGGGTAAATTTAAAGAACAGTCTTGGGAGAAGGAGGAATGAATGGAAGACCATGGTATTATTTATATAAAGTTAGGCAGCCTACAGATACTAGATATGGTATACAGATGTACAGCAAACTTTTAGATAAAGATGTGATGTGTGACTAAACATGAACACATGCTAGCAGTTACCTCTGGGAATAGATAAGACTACAGGATGGAGCTAAGAGACTTGCAGATATCTCTATAATGGTATATTTTGTAATAAAAATAACAACAAAGAATCTGTTAGATGCTGAAAATGAAAGGATCATGGTTTGAAGCCAATCTAGGCAGAAAAGTTTGAAAGACCCCTTCTATCTATAGCTGGTAGGTGACTGTCATCCTAGCTTTCTGGGTGGCTGAAATCCAGAAGACTGCAGTTCTTGGCCAGTTACTGACAGATATGTCTGTAAGACTCCATCCCAATGGAGGAAGCTGGGCATGGTGATGGACTGCTATCATCCTATCTAGGATGTGAAACCTCAAACAGAGCACGATCCAAGCAAGTGCCTAGGTAAGAAACAAAACTATATCTAAAAAATAACCAGTACCGAGCCAGGCGCTGGTGACTCACACCTAATCCTAGCTACTGGAAGGCTGAGATCTGAGCATTGAGGTTCAAAGCCAGCCTGGGCAGGAAAACCCATAAGACTTTTCTCTTCAAGTAACCACCAGAAAATCGGAAGTGGTGCTGTGGCAAAAAGTGGTAGAGTGCTAGCCTTGAATGAAAAAGCTCAGGGATAGAGCCCAGACCCTGAGAAAGAAAGAAGAAAGAAAGAAGGGCTGGGAAGGTAGCTCAGTGGTAGAGTGCTTGCCTTACATGCATGAGGCCCTGGGTTCGATTCCTCAGCACCACATAAGCAGGGGGGGAAAAAAACCGGAAGTGGTGCTATGGCTCAAGTGGTAGAGCACTAGCCTTGAGCTGAAGAGCTGAGGGCCAGTGCCCAGGCCCAGAGTTTAGGCCCCATGACCGGCAAAAAAAGAAAAAAAGGAAGGAAGGAAACAAAAAAGTATGAAAAAAGCAAAAAATGTTTGTGGAATTCTACAAAGACTAAAATAAAATATTGTCCAGAAAAAAAAGTATGAAAAAAGGTGGAGCTCAATGGTAGAGCACCTACCTAGAAAAATAAGAGGCCCTGAGTTCAAACTCCAGTACCACCCTGCCCCAAATCTGAAACAGATTAAAGACAAGATTTGATCATGTTCAGGTGATGGGTTCAAGGTTGTTCATTCATGCAGTAGTCAAGTTTAGCTTCAGAGCTGTTAGATAACAACCCCAAAACAATGTCTTTCTTGCTCATAGGGCTTGGCTCAGGTCTGGAGTATGAGTTCAGATGTATTCTGGGGTGACCCCCTTGTGCACAGGCAGCTTCTCTTCACACTGCGCACAAGTGCACGAAGCTGAGCCTGAGCACACAAACCCATCCAAAGCTGCTGCTTTCCACTGGCCAAAGTCACACATGGCCAAACCCAACCTCAAGGGGGCAGAGGAGCCTTCTCCCGTGAAGGCTAACTGAGGGGAATAGAGTCACTGAGCCATCACAAAAACCAGGATAATCATAATCGCCTTTAACCTATCTCAACTATCCTCAGTAAAGTTAAAAGGGAGTAAAATTCCCACACAAGTCACAAAACACTGATTCCAATCAGAATGCCTTTGTTTTGAGCATCTCTGTGGATACAAACAAGGATCAAATCTGGCTCTGAACCTTTTGAAAAGGCCCAGCATTTAAATCCATAGCAACCTCTTTCTGGATTTTGGGAATTTCTCCAAAATGGCATCTCAGGACAAGCTTCTTTGTATATTTCAAGATGTTACTGCTTGCACGAGTTCAAGGCAGACCTTCTCTGTGCTGCTGTTATTCAGACCTCAGTCAAGATTCACAACTTCATAATATGAACAATCAAGAAAGAACTCATCTAAGAGATTACTGCAGTCAAAAACAAAACAAAACAACAGCAACAAAAACTCGTCCGGTGCAGGTGGCTCATGCCAGTAATCCTAGCTACTCAGGAGGCTGAGATTTGAGGATCACAGTTTAAAGCCATTCCAGGCAGGAAAGTCTGTGAGACAGAAAGTGGCGCTGTGGTTCAAGCGGCAGAGCACTAACCTTGAGCTGAAGAGCTGAATGATGGCCTCCAGGCCCAGAGTTTCAAGCACTACAACGACAGAAAGGAAGGAAGGGAGGGAGGGAGGGAGGGAGGGAGGGAGGGAGGGAGGAAGGAAGGAAGGAAGGAAGGCAGGCAGGCAGGCAGGCAGGCAAGCAAGCAGTAGTGAGGCTGGGAATGTAGCTTGTTGGTAGAGTGCTTGCCTAGCATGTATGGAGCCCTGGGTTTGATTCCTCAATACCACATACACAGAAAAAGCTGGAAGGGGTGCTATAGCTCAGCGATAGAGTGCTAGCCTTGAATAAAAGAAGCTCAGGGATAGTGCCCAGACCCTGAATTCAAGCCCCAGGACTGGCAAAAAAAAACAAAAAACAAAACAGTAGTAGTGCTAGTTGGGCATGGTGGTTCATGCCTGTAATGGCAGCAAAGAAGTCT